AGACATTTAATATATAGTAATTGGTGGTGTACTTATTAAGGACCTTCTTCCTATTTGCTGGTGGTAGTAACATGGATATACATTTAATATATAGCAATTGGGGATATACTTATTAAGGACCTTCTTCCTATTTGCTGATTGTTGAATTAAGCACTGAAGGAGAGTGACAAGAGACACAAGATAAACCACCCTAGAGGAAGCTAAAATGTAGACAGGAGACAAGAAGAGCAATGCAATTATAGACATAGGCCATAATTGCTATGTGAGGTCAGAGAATGGTAAAAATCAAGAGCCCACAGTGCATGGGGATCACTTCATAGAGAAGTTGGCATTAAAACCTTGACAGGCTGGTAAATTTGGAAGGCACCAAAAAGTCAGAACTGAACCACAACTGGAAGGAATAAACAAAGAGAATGAAACTGAGATAGAAAAACATAGCAGCTACTAGGTACTATGCTTGACTGAATACGAAGGGTAATGTTGAAAAGAACATGGAATGTTCAGGAAACTAAGGTGGGGTTATATCCAGTAGACATATTATTTTTAGCTGCTTCTATAGATCTCTTAAAGCTCAGATTGTGAAAAACTAAAATCATAGGATGTAAAATTATTAAATTTGGACCTTGTAAAGCAATAGCTATCAGATTCTCACATGATTTATAAGATAGATCACCTTGTAGAAGTTCCCACAAACATGAGAACTGGTTAGGTAACTCTTACATTCCTAATCTAAAGGGTTGGGAGATTAGACCATCACAGGAAAGTTTGTTTGAAATGAATTCAGAGTGTCCTGCGATATTAACAAGGAGAGAGGGTGGTGTGTTTCCCCCTGAGGGCTAGAGAGAGGTGCTTCAAGGAGACTCGGTGAAGAGGTTAATAGGTGTCTCCTCAAGTTTGGGGAGCTAGTGGAGCCGGTAGTGAGGCAGTATAGTTCACTGGTTTCTGATGAACCTAAGTGCCAAGGGTCCAAGAGATGAGCTACGGAGAAGCCCTCATGGTATAGCAGTAGAGATGCTGACCTGCAGTGAGCCTGTTCTTCCAGGGACAGTTTTTCTGGAAGACATGTAGGCCTTGAGAGCTGTCATAAAGCTGCTTTGCTCCTTCCCTTCAGACTCAGCAGCAGCTGAAGTGGTCTCAGGAGTTAGAAGCTGTGGGTGTCTCTTGGGGCTGTGGATGCCATGGTAAAGTGAGACCCACATCAAGAACATTCCAGATGAAAGGGGCCCAGTGAGTGGAGAAGGGGGATCACTGAAGAACCTGAAATGGCACCCACAGGGAGAGAGGCCGCTTTGAACTCACCAGCCCCAGAGAGTGAGCCTTCTTGGCTCAGTGACCAGAAAGTAAACCCTTTTCTTCTCCATTGATCTCCTCTTTCCCCACCCTCCCCTTTTTACCCTGCTCCCATATTCCAGAGACATCAGAATACAAAATTAACTAGCTGGGAAAGAGGGACCTTTGGGTGGGAGGGTGGTAGTGGAGGGGAAATCCCTCTTCACTGGCTATTGGCTTCTACCTCTGGCAGACTCCAGCTAATTGTCCATGTGCAGCTGGGTGTCCACTGACTGAACTGAGAATGTGCTTGGTGAGTGTAAGAAACAGAAAGTCTGGTGGTGCATTTTCAAAATGTAGTATTCAGCCTTAATTGGATCCAATTGTAGTCATTTTAATTGTAGCCCTTCCCTTTTGCCCACCCTAATTCTAAAATTAGCCAATTGCATAGATGGTACCCTTGAGTCCAATCAGGCCAAAGGGTAGCTCTGCCTTAGTTACACAAGCAGGAAGAGTGCCTTGCTAGCCAGGTTCAGGAGCATGCCCTCCTGGCAGAAGTAAAGGTTTGCCTTGCCCACTCACTTTTGAGCATGTGTTTGATTTCTTGGGGTACTTTCTTATTTATAACAGTGAATTAAAAGAACTGTAAATTTTTTCTTTCATTTCTCAATGATCAGAGTCTAGGTAGAGGCCTGATTGTTGTTGGCTGAAATGATGTATAAGTTTCCTATGGCTGCTGTAACAAAGTACCACAAAGTGCATGACTTGGAACAAGAAAAATTTGCTTTCTCACATTTCTAGAATCAAGATATTCTCTCTGAAGGCTTTTGGGAGAATCTGGTCCATGCTTTCCTTTTAGCTTGCTGGCTGTGCTTGTAGCTTCTTGGTTGTAGGTGCAGTGTTCTGGTCTCTGCCTGCCTGCTCACATGATGTTCTCCTCATGTGTGTCTTTGCTTCACCTGACTTTCTCTTCTCTGGGTATATACATCTCTGTGTTTTCATCTCTTCTTATAAGGACACCAGTCATATTGGACTAAGGGTTCACTCAATGCTAATATAACTTCACCTTAATTTACACCTTAATTGTATCTGCAAAATTCCATTTCCAAATAAGGCTACATTCAGAAGTACCAGGGTAAGACTTCAGTATATGCTTTGGGGGGATATAATTTAATCCACAACAGATGTTATGCAGACTTTGGTCTACTTGATGCCCAACCCAGAGTGAGGGACTGTTGTTGGTGTGAATCAAAATTTCTTCCTAGTTTCCTTTCTAATCCTATATGATGCCCTTTGTCAAAATACACAGTATAAATGTCTAAGTTTAAAACAGTATTTCTTAGTCTATTCCTATTGGGAATATATCTACTAGAAATACCTCTTTGTTTTGTCCATTTTCATTCCAATGCTATAACCAATGTTCCTCTTCTTTGACATTCTCTGAAAATTTAGGAGAAGTTGAGAAGATATACATTGGGCAGTAAGAGATCTCATATTGATCGTTTCCATATTTTTTAATACTATTAGCTCTTTATATGTGTTATTCCATCTCTGTGGAAAATTGTGCCTGTGTTAGTCAGCTTCCTGTTATCCTGACAAAATATGTGAGATAATTAACTCATGAGGAGGGAAGATTTGCCTGTGCTCATGGTTCTGGAGGTTGAAGTCCAAGATCAAATGGCCCCATGACTTTGGGCCTCTGACAAGGGGAGCCCATCATGCCTAGAGCATATGGTGGAGCAAATTGTTTACCTCCTGATCCAGGAAGCACAGAGGAAGAGGAAAGGCCGGGTTCTCCCAGTCTCCTTTGGGGGCATGTCCTTAGTAACCAAAGGAACTTAGGCCTTACCTACTAAGGGCCCACCACCTGGCAATAGCACCACCCTGGGACCCAGCCTTTAGCCCATAGACTTTTGGGGGACATTCAGCATTCAAATATAGCACCATAGCAGACTCAGTCTTTCAAGATCCTTCTGTTTTATAAAACTTTCTTAGACCTCACAGGACTGTTAGCTATGTGTAGCAGTCCAGCTTTCTGATTAGTGTTTCAAAGATTCTCTTTTATTATTCCTGTCACTCTGTAATTTTGTGCAGAACACTGTTTCAAGACTTTCTGCTAATTCAGCACATTTTATGTTAATGATGGCTTTTTTTTTTTTTAACCAATTACTTGGAATAATTGTCTGTGAAACTGCCCTCCTTGAGAATCTCTCTCTCTCTCTCTCTCTCTCTCTCTCTTTTTTTTCTGATTGTGGTTTCTCTTAAGTGTGTCACAGGCCCTGACTTGTAGTACGAGCTTACGAGGTCTTTTCTGAATGGAACTGAGTGTTCACAGAGTAGACAAGGGCCCGATGCTTTAAGTGACTCTTGAAGTCCATCACAATGTCTTGAAGGGCTTCTTCCAAGTAAAATCCTAAGCAAAATCAAGAGGAGCCACTGTAGTGCAGCAATTGACAGCTTGCTAATAATCTTCTGAAATTCTCTTCAATCTTTTTTACCAATCTGCTTCACAGAGTCGGATTAATAAATAGAAAAAAATCAGGCAATGTCCTGTGTGATGTGATTTAATCATTCTACTGTGTGGCTCACTAGGCATTGATTGTCAATGGGGCAGTGAAATTCCTTTTTTTTTTTTTTTTTAAGGAGAACTGTGCTAATAATAGCAAAAATGATGTTGATAATAATACTGGCTAACCCTTAGCTTGGTGTGATGGATGTCCTTTGTATGTGTTTATCTCACTTAACTTTTGTATCAGCCCTGTGAAGAAGGAAGAATTATTCCCATATTACATAGGAACAATGAAGTTTTCCATGAGTTTCATTTAGTTGCCGAAGATCACACAGCTGCTACGATGTTGTTGTGATTGCAGTAATAAGATGATTCATATAACAACTGCTGTGACAATTAATCAGTGCTGTTAACTGTTAACATTCCTTCCGTCAAATAAGTTTCTTGGGTAAGAATTTTAGATTCATCCCTTATCTGTGCGACAGCCCTTTCTGGAAAACTACTGCTCAGACTTGAATTTCTTATCCTCCAATCTGAACATTCAGATAATGATGCAATAAAATCTTTTATGGGATACTCCTCAAGATTGTTATATGCTAAGGGAGGGGATAAGATATATTTTCATAACTTCTGACTTCTGTAAAGTACTTTCCTCCTCGTAGCAGCACTGAAAAGCTTTGAAATTGCATCTCATAAGGAGGGTAATCTGCAATTATTTACCAAGTCATCCCACAATATCTCATCTTATCACTTTTGTGGAAAGACCCAAAATTTCATGAATATTTTAAAGCCCATACTCACTAGGAGAGGGAGGAAAGAAGTTTAGATAATTGCAAATTCCATTTCAGTCTGTTGTATTCCGGGTAAATGTTCAGTCCCAACATGGCTTACATCTTGTCTTGTGAAATGATGGAAGCTAATGCCTTTCCTTGCTCAAGTGCAAATCTCATTCCCATGTGAGAAAAGAAAAGAGAAGCGAAGAAAACAGACTGAGTATCTGCCACAGTCACCCATGTTCTCAGCTACAGGGGAGTGAGGACCTTTGGGGAAGTTATTTGGCATTTAAAGCAAGTGGTTCTTGAGGCACCTACTGAATGGAGCTGAATATTTTGTTAAATGATTTTCTTCTCTGACCTTTATTACTAATGAATCTTCTTTAAGAAGCCTTTAAAAAGTAAAAAGAAAGGTTGTTTTTATTAATCTCCTCTCTTTTTGCCCACAGAACTCAAAGAAATGGTGTTACCTGGCAGGAGATCTCCTGTCTTTTATGAAAAATCAGACCAAGGTAGTAATGCTTATTTTGAATTGATATGTTTTTCACTCTATTTCTTTGATTGCTCTGGTTTTAAACATTGAGTGATTCATCAAAAAAGTAAATCATGCACTGAAAAGTAGAGGGAAGGGTTTATGATGACCACCATATTCATGAAGTGAACAATAAATTTTTTAAATATATAATAGTTTATGAAAACATTATGGATAATGGTTAATTTTTTGAGACTGCTTTTTCATTTATGTTAATATATGAATAGGATCTTGACGAGAAGATTGCATTCTCTTCATTTGGAAATAACTCCCAATTGGCATATCATATTTACAAATGATATGCAGTAAGAGAAAGATTCTTGTCGAGGTAGAGTAATGAGAGTTTTTCCTTTATTAAGCATTAGTCTGATGGCTTTACATATTTTTCTGAATATGCAAAAAATTGATGAAATTCCTAGAAAATTTGAAGTTTTATGAAGATACTCTGGTACAAACCACGTATTTTCTCTGGAAGATTGAGTTATATCATGCAGTTGTTGAATAGCATGCCTGATTATGCTTAACAGATTGCATCTTTAGTTGCTAAATTTTCAAATTGCTATCTGATTTATTTACATATGTTGTCTTAAGAATATGAAAACTCATGCAAATATTCTAATGACATATACATGTAAACAAAGTGTGAGCACAGATGCAGATAAGCAATATGTGCATGTTTACCAACAAAGCTTCTATCTCAAAAGAGATTTTTATAGAAAAGTTTCAGACAGGTTAGAATTGTGAAGGGAACTAGATGCATCTATTGAGTACTATCTGTTTGTTACAGCTACGATGTCACTATGCATATAGGAACATACTTATTAATTGAAATCTATTATATGGTTGCATTTTAATTGGTATTGACTGAATTTTGTTTATAATTAATGGTTGAATTTTCCCTGAATGAGTATTGAAACAAAGATTGAATTTTGAATTTCATTGACATCAGGACAGAATTTCTTTCTGAACTTTGATTTGCAGTTGAACAAAAATAAACTGTTAAATTGAACTACATATTGGAGCATTTCTACTTATTTTTGGCTTTCAATGAATTCTTCAAAGGAGTTGTAAACTCCTTGAGAAAACAGCTTCTCTCCTTTTAAGGGGATTTCTAAAAATTGTAGTCACTTTTTCCAAGTTTCATTTGCACGAAAATGTTAATTCAAACTATAGTATTTTATATAATTAATGAGATGAATTAAGTGTTGCCAGTTGCATAGGTCTGTGATTCCCCAAAGAGGGATGAGATAACGAACACTAGTATGTAATACGGGAAGAAGCTGAAGCTCAGCTATGTGATCCAGGTGTAGGGAGACAGTTTGGGTGAAAGTGCTTGCTGGGGAGGAGTCGGTAGAGAAGAGAAGCTCATGACTGAGGAGCAGCCACTGAGGAGGATCTTGGACCCATATTCTTTGGAACGAAAATAAGGAAGTAGTAGGGGAGGGCAGACTCACAATGCATTTGTGTGAGCTTTTTTTTTTTTTTTTTTTTTTTTTTTTTAGAAATAGGTGTATACTAATAGTTTCGGTTATTAGGCAGTAATTTGATTTTTTTTCAGGTATGGATCAACTTATTTTAAAATGCACATAGTCGAGGAGGAGTTAGGATGAGAAGGAGGAAATTTCCATTAACATGATAGAACTTCTAGCATCTGTGTACCCAGAGTAACAAATTTGCTTCTTTCCACTGTGAGAATAAAAGAAGCATTTGTGTGGTACCAAAGTTCAAGTGCTTTTCCAAGCTAAAACTCCCCAAGAGATTCTTACTTAGGATGTCTGTGCATTTGTGTCAGGCTAACAGCAGGCTGTGGAGGAGCAGCTTGGGGTGGGAGAAGTGGGTTCACGTTATTATCTCTCTAGGTTTGTCCATTAGCTTCACTCAATGAGAGGTGTTTCCATCTTATAAAATTCCTGTTAATAAGACAGTGCTAATGGCGGATGCTCTGCTATCTCAGATGAGAGGCTTGCATTTAAATTTAAGTCTTTTAATAGTGGAAGTTTAAGTTTATAGTGAAGGTGCTATTTTTAGATAAATGCTACTGTTCAGCTTTTTTTTTTTTTTTTTGTCCCCTAAGCTGTACATGAAAACACTCATTTTGTGTAGGATGATGACTAACACAGTCATTTTGTGTAGGATTAATTCTGGCGGTGGAGCCCAGAGAAGTCTGTGGGACTCACAGGCACTGTGTGTGTGTGTGTGTGTGTGTAGAACCTGCAAATTCCACATTCAATTAAAAGGGTATTTACATAACTTTTCATGTAATATCTTACTAAGTGAAGTTAATGGTATCTGTTAATCAAACTGTTCTTAATTTTGTCATCCAAAGATAGAGGCAACTTTAATTAATCAGGTTAAAATGTCCTTCTTATGTACCTAGCGAGACAATGATGTGTGTGGGCAAGGGGAGAGAAAGTGACATATTCTGTTCAATTTTTATAGGTTTTTATTCCTGAAAATATTGAATTTCAACTGAGAAAATTACATTTCTGTAATTGTTTTTATTCTCCAGAGATGGTGAATTTTATTCTTACATGTATTTAACTTCTTCTATAAGAAAATTAAAATGTCATATTAAGGATTTAGCAACATTTTGATGTGCGATAGGTTAATATCAAGACTTAGTGAAAAACACATTTTGAGAAATGAAAATAAAATGGATCATAAGAGTGGTGTATAGTTCTACTTATGTTCAAGAAAACTAAGAAATAAGTTACTAATGCATTTTTTACAGGTTGGTTTTATTTTGGTTTATTATTTGATGTAGAAAATTTTGTAGATGTACTTTGTGTTGAGATTTAAAAGGATAAAAATGTTGAACATATTAGGAACTTACTACAAATTATATATCATTTGCCTGTTATAAAAACAACAATGGAAACGACATGAAAAGCTGCAGGTTGATTGATAAGTGAACAGCTGTGAATTGAAATGAGTCAAACGTTTCTATGGCTTGTGATGAAACATGAGATGTAGTTTGCCAATGTCTGAATTAGATTCCATGTCTGAGAGCTTTACACAAAGAGTGTAGCATCAGGCAAAGCACGCTCCTACTGCAAATCGGAGAGCTAGTCATTGAATACTTTCATGGAGAAGTGATTAAACACAGTTCTTAAGGGAGAATTTCCATGAGAAGAGTTAGTATAATAGTCTTAAGAATTTGGCTTTGGTGATTTTTATGGATCTTGTCATGTGTAGAAGTACCTGGGCTTTTTGACTCTCCTTGAGGATTAGTTTCTGTGGGATACTGGATGTGTTTAAACATGAAAAAGGCTCCCAGGACTATGAACTATAGCATTATTTAGAATAGCTCCTGCTAATATTCAAGTTCATTCACCAATTTCCCACCGGTTTCTTATGTTATTTGTTTCTGTTACTCTGTACTCTAAATCTTTGCATCTTTGTCCTAAAAACACTCTCCTTTTTTCCTGCCATACTCCACAGCCTACGTAACCTTAGAGATTGACCTTAAGAATGGGCTTCTGGGATCCCCATCATATACTCCTCTCTCCCTTAGTCTTCATTGACTCAGTACAGACCTTATATGTAATACCTGTCAATGTCATTGATTGGCATATATGGTTGTGTTCTTATGTGAGTACATACATGTGCATATATAATTTTATATAAAGGTGCACACACAGACATGGTTTATTTTTTTTAATATGATTTTAAAAATTATCTTTCTGCTGTTCACTTTTGCTCCCACTTGTGAGTAAAGTAGACACATTTTGAATGAGTGCTCTCTTTGAATCCTTAAATCTCCAGGATTTCTACTGAAGGAATATTTAAAAGGCTAAAGGTTTCTTTTGTACTATGGGAGTCAGGATTTAGCTATATTTTGTGTTAAGTAGGACTACCTTGAGAACTCACTCTACCGCTTATTTTCAAAGAGAATAAAATCTAAATTTAAATCCACTAACTTCTAAAGCTGTTGTAGGGACATTCTTTTCACCAAGGAGAGATGGCCTAATTCTATCACCTGTTGGCTTTGTGCCACTTTGCATATGTCTTGGAGAAAAATTTTGACCTTAGCTCTTCAGCAAAGTCACTTTTGCCTAAGAACAAATCAGTGCCTTATAAGAGCACCAGCTAACTCATATTTTCCATCAGAATCAATAACAAAACACAAGTTAGAATTTCCAGCTCATTCACTTGCATATTCATTTATCAATTCAGTATTTACCTGCTGTGTTCACAGGGCTCTCACTGGACTGGAAGTCCATCCAGTGCTGGAAAGTCTGCTGCTTGTTCTCAACACACCCCAAGTGCATATGTGCCTGCCACACACAGGACCCAGAACCCCCCTGCATACTGGTGGAAGTTATCTCTGCTCTCCTCCTTATTTTCACACAGATTCCAATCTCTTTCACGTTCTTAGGCATATCACCATTCATGTGGATGGTTAGAAACCATTAAGGCAGTCCCTGGCAGCTGCTCTTAAGTCTTTGGCAGTAGTTGCATCTCATGTGGAGGAATTGTATGGCCCTTTTGAATGTGCATGTCTGTGTGTGGATATGGGGTCTGAAAGGACCTACACCTAGCTCTACAGTGGAGCCTCTCCAGGCAAGGACTTTAAAGGTACCTAAATCCTAGGTGAAGAAACAAAAATAGGGTTATGGTTATTTGAAATGTCGAGATGCAATCAGGTTTATTGGGGTTGGGGCAGAGCGTTTGAGAATTTGAGCTTCTAGGGGAACTGGTGATTCCTAGTAAAGACCAATGAACTTGACAAAATTGACTTTAGCAGTTATATTTTCATTTCTTTAGATTTGCAGTGTTAGCACAAAGGGGAATCACTTCCTTGAAGAAAAAGTGGTCTGGACTGGAACAAATAATTTGTAATGTAGGATGTCTACTAGGCTTTGCAGGTACAACCATGAAAAAAATTATATATATATTGTGTGTGTATATATATATATATATATATATATATATATATATATATGGTGATATATATTCCTCTTCCTTTCAAATGCATTT